CACAATGACACAGGAGAGGCTGGTTGGCCTTGCAGCCATCTCCATAGATCATGAGCTGGCCCAGACTGGACCTTCAGGAAGCAGTTCAAATCTCTGCAAGCAAGAAGGCATGGAAAGGACCACTTTGATTATTCAAACAGATAAAAATGCCAGTGTTCAGTATGCAGACAAGAAAAGTTACATTTGCTGTTCAGGCGTTTGAAAGTTAAGTGTTACTTAAAATTTTTGAACAAGGCATTTTAAGTTGTTCTCTTTTATTGGGGTAGGTAGCAGAGCAGTACCATGAGAGGAGTAGAATAGGAAGAAGGCAGAATTGAGACCTTTCAAAGTTTTGGCCCAAGCGAGTGGGCATGGAGGCGTCGTTTGAGCTTCCCACCTCAGGTGACAAAATATTGTGGGCTGATCCTGAAGTTAAAAATAGAGATGACTGAGAGGGCCGACGAGAAAAGAGCAAAGAGCACCGGTGGAACTCCATGTAAGAGGTATCTTCCTAAAGAAGCAGAAGAGGAGCCATTCCAAATAGAAAGCGAGAACCCTTAAGAATAGAACCATGACCAGAAGGAACTAGATATGCCTGCATAGCTATGCAAGTCCAGGAAAGACTGTGCTGAAATGAGGGCGAAAGAGGCAGTATCCGTGGAAGAGGGAAGACTTTAATGCTTCTGGAAAATGGTTTCTTTGCTATTGTCAGAATGAAACCTAGACTGAAGTCAGTCAGTGATGCTGCTATGCAAGAGATGAATGGAGAGATGAAAGAAGGCTTCTTTTAAGAGCACTTGAAAATAGAAATGGGCATTTGCATGCCTGTGCAATTGCCTAATTTGCATATGCAGCTACAGAGTTTGCAAGCCCAATGGATGCTGCATCAAGTATGTTAAGCCCCAAATTCAATTTATCATAACCTAATTTGATGGTGAATAATCTTCCTTCACCCTCCCATCAGCAATAATTTAGAAAACAAAATACAGCCTCTGCCTCTGTTTATAGAGAACTGGTAATACTTTATGCGCTACTCTGTCAGAAGACAGATCATAAGTTGACAAACAATATCCAGGACTTTGCAAACATCATTGATGCTTCTATAAAAACAGAGAAGTAAATGAAGCAGAACCACACTGGCTTGTACTCCATAATAAATAATAGTCTTAGCAGTTCTGTAGTACTTTACATCTTCAAAATGCTCTACAAACCCTCGCTAAACTTCAAAATGCCCCACCGAGGTAGGTAAGGAAGTACTATTTCTGTTTCCAAATGAGGAAACCGCTTACAGGCAGTCACTCCCAGAGGCATTATTAGCATTAAACATTTGCATATAGAGCCACAGGTGTGAATGGCACTTTACATAGCTAGTAAAGATACAGTCCCTTTCGCAAAGAATTGGCCATGCCTCTGTGAATGCAGGAGGTAAGCAGGCTTGAGCATCCTTTGCTGCCCCCCTTTATAGGGTGTACCCACTTTGCTGGCTCAGTTCTCCTAGCCAGTGCAGCTGGAGGGTTGGTGTTATAGCTCACTCTTGATCCTCATCTCCTGACCACAGTGTTAGATATTCCCGGCAGTGCTAGACTCCCATTGTCATTATGTGGGAGTGTAGCCCTGAGTGGAAATTGTTGCTGCTAAATGAGTGTCTGAGAAAGTTGACTGGTTTCCATCAATATCACTGGAAGAAAAGAGTAGAGATAAATAAGAGCATATTTTAGTGTCTGAAAAGGACCCTTGTATATCGTGCCTGTGACCATTGAGCCCTCCAGCATGTGCAATATTATGGAAGGAATTTTTTGAGGGGAAAATGTAGTCCACAATATGAAAGAGGATTAAATTATTTTTTTCATCCAGCAAAATAATTGATATCTCTGGTGTGGTGGTCTTATCCTTTCCCCACACCTTTAGTTTATTTAAGCAGTTGAGCATTTTGATTTATGTCCGTTTTCTCAAGATTTCTCTTGGGAGTTCTTCCCTGTCTCTGTTATTTCCATTGGGATTTTCATGTCACTGTTTTGCCTAATTAGTCCTGACATTTTACCAAACGGTGGACTTCTTCACAGAGAGGAAAACAAAAGTGTCCCTTGACACCAAAGAACGAAATAGTGCAAACCAAAAGCCAATTATTTGTTGTAACTAAAAACTATATTTTATTTTTGTAGTCACCGAGATTCTAACATAAAAGCTATAGAGGAAAAGCTGTGACTGGAAGGATGGTATAGTTTATCACAACATCTTTCCTATATATATATATTTTATAGTTTACATACTCAACAAACAAATTAAACAGTATTCACACTTTTTTGTGTTGTTACATTCTCCTCTGAAAGAAGTTATTGGACCAGATCCTCAGCTGATGTAAATTGATTTAACTCCACTGGAACTAGAATTATACATTCATGTTATTACATATGTTTCTAATTACATCACTATGGCACTTGTAATAATACTTGGCATATTGTGCTTTATGGGTCAGTCTCTTCTCTTAGTTACACAAATGTACATCTAAATAACTCCATTAACTTTGGTGAAGTCACTCAGATTTACACTAGGAAAATCAAAAGCAGAATTTGGTCCTACATTTGCAAAGTTCTTTACAAATATTTAACTTTTTATCCACACAACATCTTTGTAAGGCCACCATTATTATCCTCATTTTGCAGATGGGGAAAACTGAGGTAAATGGACCTGCTCAAAGCCACACATAATGTCAGTGGTGGAGCCAAAACTAGAGCTCAGGACATCGTGCCTCCCAATTATGTGCTTTTTGGCTCCAGACAGTACTATCACTCTCATGCAATTTTTTTGCTTTCTGGTTCTGCAGATATAAAAGAAGTGGCAGAACTCAAAGCGTGATGGAAGGGAGTACAGCTTTCTCTGATGGGCTTTGATTATTTGCATCTTTGCTGTAAACTTCTTCCTCTTCACAGTTCAGGGTAACTACACCTGTATTTCCCTTCAGTGGTTCAGCAAGGGCACCCACTTCCAGTCTTGCAGCTGCCCTGTTGTTGCTTGTCTTGGGTGGAGACCCGCACCTCTCCTTTCTGACCGAGGTATTTCCAGCTGCACAGTTCCTTGCCTTCACTATGTATCTTCCAGCAGAGACAGGTTGCCCAAGGACATCTGCTTGCTTTCCCTTCAGAGGCTGGTATGGGAGAGATTGTCAACAGTTATAAGATATCATTTCTTCCTATGCAAGCTTATTTTATTCTCAAGGTAAAAAGCATTACAGAGAGAATACATATTACAAACAATAAAAGAACCTACATGTAGGCTAAGAAGTTTTGGATTCTGGCAGGCCTGGTCATTCTGACTCTTCCTTTGGACTGGAGCCCTCCATGGAGCAGAGGTGTTGTCTGTTTACCACTTTGCGGGGAGGGAGGTGCTTCTCTTTAGATGTTACAACCTGAGTAAATTTACCTACTCACCCACTGCTATTCTCCTATTTGTCCTTCCCATGTAAATACACACATTTCCCTAATAACACTTTTTACAATTGCATTCTTAATACAATGGACTCCAAAGGTTTTAAAACTCATTCAGTAAGGTTTAACTTAATTCAATAAGTTCATTCAGGATATTGCAGGAAATTGTCAGTCTATCACAACCATGATAAGACATTTCTTTGTTTTCAAGATCCCTAACTGACTCAGCTCCACTCTTTCAAACGTTTTGTTAATCCAATATCATAAACTCCTAAAACACCCAAGAAAACATTCAGAGTCAGGGAAGTGGAAGGAAGTCCTCAGGTTTTTAAGATACCTCTTACCAGTTAACTCTGTGAAAAGCACTTTGCAAGGTATCAGCTACCTCTTCTGTGAGGTTGGTGTGCTGTTTGCAGAGGTGCAAGGTGTTGGATCTGATTCTCTGTTGCCTTATATATGATGTAGCCAGACCTTTAGGCAAAATGAGTGTACAATGCTACTAAATCCAAATAGTAAGTAGTGTTTCTACACCCACTTCATCCTCACATTGTACAGAGGTAAATGACTAATCAAACTGCCAGATAGTGGGGAACCAAGCCCATGATGTTTTATACAAACTTATTTCATTGCCTAAACATCTAAAATACTTTGCACTTATATGACACTTTTCATTTAAGTGTCTGACAGCTCTTTTCAAAAGTGTGAATGTTATTTCCAGTTCATAGATGGAGAAATTAAGGCACCGAAAAGGGTAAAGGAGTTGCCCAAGCAGACATACTATGATGATGTTAGCAAGAAGACCCAGCTCTCCTGATTCCATCACCTTATCTGATGGTTAGACGCCCTTGCCTACCAATTTGTTCTAGCCATATTATAAATAGGTTTTTAGGGTCTAGCTAGGCCAAATTTGCCTGGGTTGCTTCCAAGCATGTCCTCCTTTGAATCAGCTAAATAATATTAATTGTGGCATTATGCAAGTGGCCAAAAATGCTCCCCCAGTTGTGCCGTTCAGAAGGCCATGTCAGTTTCCTTCTGGAGAGGACTGTATGCATTTTTCAATATGTAATGTTTAAATTTGAAAGTTGAAATCAGTACTGAAAGTCCCATATTTAGTTATGCAGGACTTTCCTTAAGGTAAAAACGTGTTGATACAGCTGTAATTTGTGAAGATAAGAACTCAGTTTTCTACCTCTGGTTCTTTCAGTTGTTCCCAGTGCTGTAATTTAATTTGGATTTTTTTCCCTCCCTGATCTGGAGGGCAGTCTAAGAAACAATCCCACAGGCACTGGATGGACAATCGCAAAATTCTTTCATCGTTAGAAATTCCAGTAATTGTACTCAGTGTTACAGCTAGAATTGACATTAATGAATAATGAAGCTCCAGCACATGACATAATCATATCTCCTGTGGTCTGACAGCTCTCGAGCAAAGTCTCCATTACAGCGATGCTATTACTGAAGAACTGACCTTTGGAAAGAATGGGCTGACAGGCCATAAATTGTGAGGCACATTACCTAGTGCAGCGATAAGCCTCCTTAATAGCCCAAGAGTGAGCACTGGTATAAGAGCCTGGCCTATGTTAATTCTCTCCATAGAGGCAGAGCAATGGTTTCAGTCAATGATGGGGGCAAAAGCTGCTGTTGTGAAGAAGTCTGCGCAAAAGAGGAGGCAGAGGCCCCAAATCAGAGTATGTTACTTTTTATTTTTTCCTATCTTCAATTGTTAATTATCTGACAACACAGGCGGCTCTTTACTGGGAGCAGCACCTCAAGCAGAATGCAATGAGTTTTATTCTTAGTTTTACAGGTTATGAAGCTGCCATAGCAACAGGTGCAGTTCCTGGTGAGGATTGTGCCAGGTATTAAAAGTCCTTGTATGTTGCAGATGGTGATATAGTATGCAACCCATTTGTAAACTTCTGCTCTTATAAGTATTAATTGGTGTGCTGAAAAAGTGCAATGAACTTATTTGACTACATCTTGAGCACTAAGCTTAGAGATACATGGAAACACAAATAGTAAAAGCTCCACAGAACCCAAGTATGCATCTGATAAATTAGTTTTAGGAACAGCTACAACAAACTGCCTCCTGTATTTCTTTACTAAATTAATTTGCTGTGCCCCCTTTGACTATATAAAGTGCTTTGAAAACCTGTGGTGTAACATTTATGCAGCTATTTCAGTGGCGTCTCCTTTCAAACCAAAAGGCATCAGATGACAGTGTTTCTCAATTTACATTGATGCAGATAATTGCGACTGCCTCTACTTGGGGGGAAAAAAACGGAGATTTGATGAGGACCATAATACACAGAGACGCCAGAGCCTGTTTAATGCAAAAGCAACCATTTACCATGAGTAAAATATTCTTGTTAGTTACATCTTATGCAGTAGTGATTTAGAAAACAAAAAAATCCATATATTTTTCTAGAGATTGAGCTATTAGCCTAAACGCAGAGGGTGATGTATCTTGAGAAACATCCAGCACTCACAAGTGAATATAACAACAATCTTAATTTAGATATTGCCTTTGAGTGAAGGCAAGGAAGGGTTGATTCAGAGCCATAAAGGAGCCAGGTATGTATCAGAGCCACAATCTTGAGCCTAGCAGGTCTTATAGGGATGTACTTTGCCCTGAAGGCAGATGGTGGGGTACCAGCATATAACAAAATCATACGCTGAGAGACACTACACATTGATCTAAAATATGAAAGTCATGTCAGCAAAGGCAAACTTCTAAGGTTCAGAATTTGGGTGCACTTTATAAATGTCTCCAAAACTTGTAAAGCACCATCTCACGCCAAAACATGCTACTCCCCGCCACCTTCTTCCCCACTACAGGCTATTCATCTTTCTCCCTCTCACTGAACAGGCCCACTCACTACCACCCACTGTCTTGAGCTGCCATTGTGAAGAGACCCAATGGTCTTATATACCCGTCTATATGTGTAGGGGGGAACCAACTGGCGTGGCCAAACTTCCTAAAATTTCATATCCTGTCTTTCCAAAGTTTAACTTCAGCTAGCTTCCCTTCGTCCAGCTGCTAATTTCATTCAGGCATTGGGAAACCTGTATGCTGATGGCTTTTGCGTTTGACATGAACCATAGGTAAAACTGGGTATTGTCTGCGTGCTGACGGCTTTTAAGCCCGTGGCAGGACAAAATCTCATCTAGCCATTTATATAAATGGCTAGAGGAGGGTATTGAGTCCTGTAGAACTCCACAGATGAGAACTTTTGAGATACGTCAACAGTTGTCTTTTGCAACAGTTTAGGTGCAATCAGATAGGGGGGTGAACAATCTCATTAGTTAGACTTCATGGTCAATGGCATTGCATGTTACTGAGAGATTGAGGAGTATGTGTATGGGTTCGAGATTGGCCCATTGCATTCTAGGGTGTCTCACGTCGCACGAGTGTTAGAACAACAGCAATGTCTGCAATGGTGAGCAGGAAGGAAACATTTCAGGTTCCACTGCTTCCGGAGAGACGGAGTTGGGGCAACATCGTGACCACTTGTGCCCCTAGTAGTCAGGTGGGCTGAACAGAAGGTGCAGCACTCTTATTAATTGCACGAGAACTCAGAGTTGACAGCATCCAAAACTTCAAAAATGGGTGTTCAAAATTTGGGGATACTTTGATGTTGTCTCTTAATTAAGTCATGTACAACCAGAGTACTATATGACTAATAATAAGACTTGCGATTTTTAATACGGATGGAGTCTGACACAGTGAAACCTACACATCTGTTCTTTTAGAAGGCAGTTATGTTCCCTAATCCACTCTTTCTTTAGCTTGTCCCATTTCAGTATTTTATATTTCAGCGGGGCTAATCATGATAGTGTACTCTCTATCCAGTAATAAATGCTTGAGGGACTGTTCCTTCAGAGCGCTAGTCCAGTCCTTTTTTTCAAAAATATCTCTGTTAAACAGCTGATTTATGTTTTTCTTTTGATTATTCACTTAAGACGGTTTTCACTGTCTATTAATTGACTGTACATGTTTCCCCTGGAAACAACCAAATTATTGTATTCTGTACCAGTGCCAATAATATGTTCCAATAATAATAGAGGTGGAAAAGTTCAGTTGCATAGCAATATAACCGTTAAAGCAGAGATTTTTACTGAATCAATGTTAAAAGGAATTCTTATTAATAAAGAAGTATTTACCATATAAAACATGATAGTCAATATTAAAATGCGTGTGAGAGTCTGTCATTGATCTGAACCTGGGTTATTTTTTTTAAATTGACCCCTATTTTTCACTGGCTGCCACTTAGTAAAATTATCCGTTGCAGTTTATTTACTACTGCTCTTCTTTCCCTGTCAGTGACCAGCAGTTGGAATGTTTAGTAATGTAACGACTCCAGCAGTCAGACTAGTCATGAGAATAAGCTTTTGAATTTACAAGATTTCTTCACTTTGCTGTCTTAGCTGCATTTTTTGTGAAGTCTCTCATTTTGTAGTTTGATTTGTCTCTCACTAAGAAAAACACGGTTGGAGAGACCATATTAGTCTGTAATTTTATTTTAAGATATTCTTTGTTCTGTTTTCTACTTGTTTCTTTTTATCTTTTTTGTATCTGGAGATATTTTGCATAAATTTTGAATGAACCAAAAGAACCCAGCTGAAGTAAGGCCTCATTCTGTCATCTTCACTCACACCACATATTACCTTACTCCACAAGTTGTTCTATTAATTTCAATAGGAGATCTCTCAGGGTAAGGGTGGGATTCACAAAGGTATTTAGATGCCTAACTCCTTCCCCCTTTTGTTTTAATGGGAGTTAGGTGCCTAAGTAAGAAAGCTACCCTAAATTACTATTCAATCTGAGTAAGGGTGGCCGAATCTAGCCCAGAGTCCATCTTTTTGAAGTCCATGAAAGTGTTTGCATGGGTAAATGATCATTAACGTGAAGGAGGGCAGCAGAATCAACCCCACAATTTCTTACAAAACCACAGTTTACTCTGTACTTTTATGTAGACATTTCTTATAGATGTACTCAGTATAGGAATTGTGAGACTGAAAGTTAGCAAAATCTTGTTAGATGATTTAAGTGATTCTTGTGAGGGGAAAACATTGATTTTTGGAGTGTAAATCATCAATAAGTTGCTCATGTGTGAAATAGGAAAGGCAACTCTGGGTCAGTTTCCAGTAATTCATTCTCAGGTCAGATAGGCAATTTGGTAGCACCCAGATGAGTACACTAATTATTTGAGTAACTGCTATGGCTTGAAAAACAAGATAGAGATATATTTGAGCTTCATGTAGATTGGCCTGATTTAGGGTTTTTGTATGTCCACTGTCTTTCAGATAAAGAGATCATAAGTCTTAGCAACTGTACTTACACTGTGATATCACAGTCCAACTTCCCATAAGTAACTTTAATGATAGCTCTGTCTGCATGAAGAGATGAAAGGATATATTAAAAAAGCACCCATGAATTATGTCATTTGAAAGATGTGGGCCATATTGTGCCATCAGTTTTTAAGCAGAATTTCTATTGATTTCATTGACGTATTTTATTTCAAAGTGGGTGGTACAATATTACCCCATATATATAATCAATCACATGATGCAGGATTGCAAGATCATAATTTGGTACTGACACACTATATATTTTTCTGCTTGAAGACACTAGTGTCCACCAATGCTGCTGTAGTTATGGGATGTGAAGTTTTAAAGTCTAACTTCACTCTTTCAGGGCTTCAGAATGAATATGTAGTGATTTGCGCTGTGGTGAAACATGGTACTCTATATAAGGTATCAGCTAGAGGGATATTATTATGAAATTATAGGTGTCCAAAAAACCAATGATTTACTTTTATTCACTTGTTAATCCAAAACAGCTGCTTTGTTAAAATTCTAATTCTACAGTGCTGTATTCAGTTTTATTCTTCAGGATGAAAAGCTTTGTATAAATATTAGATAATAGTTAAAAGTGAATATTTGTATATGATTAGTTGATTGTGAACTGGATTCTTCTGTTTTGTTTTTAAATTAAAGCGCCAAGTTACAGCAGTTACTTATAACAGCAGTATCCTATTGCCTTTATATAAATTCATGGTACGCCCACATCTTGAATACTGTGTGCAGATATGGTCGCCCCATCTCAAAAAAGATATTAGACTTGGAAGAGGTTCAGAAAAGGGCAACAAAAATGATTGGGGTATGGAATGGCTGCCGTATGAGGAGAGATTAATAAGACTGGGACTTTTCAGCTTGTAAAAGAGATGACTAAGGGGGGGATATGATAGAGGTCTATAAAGTCATGACTGGTGTGGAGAAAGTAAATAAGGAAGTGTTATTTACTCCTTCTCATAACACAAGAACTAGGGGCCACCAAATGTAATTAAGCAGCAGGTTTAAAACAAACAAAAGGAAGTCTTTTTTTCACATAACGTACAGTCAACCTGTGGAACTCCTTGCCAGAGGGTGTTGTGAAGGCCAAGACTATAACAGGGTTCAAAAAAGAACTAGATAAATTCAATGGCTATTAGCCAGGATGGGCAGGGATGGTGTCCCTAGCCTCTGTTTGCCAGAAGCTGGGAATAGGCAACAGGGGATGGATCACTTGATTACCTGTTCTGTTCATTCTCTCTGGGACACCTGGCATTGGCCACTGTCTGAAGACAGGACACTGGGCTAGATGGACCTTTGGTCTGACCCAGTATGGATGTTCTTGTGTTCTTAAGATGGATAGATCAAAACAAAGTCTGTCTTTCCCAGTGAGTGTTTATAATGGTTATCAGGGTTTCCAAAAGAGGCCAGAAGAGAGAAGGACGGTAGAGAGAGAGCAGGAAGGGATATGCCAGAAAACCATTGAGGAACAGAAAGAAAGTACAGGGAAAGTGGGAAAGTCTGCATAATGTTTGCACAAACTGCCTTTCTGCACAGCATAGCTTAAATGATAGCATAGGCAGTCAATTTGGTTTGGGAGACTGGCTTCTCTCTAGTTTGTCAAATTCAGTGAATGAGTCACCTCAATCTTAAATTGAATTGATGTGTGTATGCCTAAAAATTTGCTGTTACACAAGGATGTGCTATAAGATTCTTTCCCTACCTATCCACTGTCTTAAATTTTTAAAATTAGCCCATATGTATTAACATAATGACAGTGACAGAATATGATGGAGAATAATGGCTCTACATCAAGCAAATAACACATTTAAAAATAGAGGCTTAAACAGAAATAAAGAGGGCCAAATTTTTCAGTGGGTCTCTGATGTCATACCAGCAAATTTTCTGTGTGTGAAACCAGCATTTTGAAATGCAATTATGGGGCTTTTGCCTGCAAATGAATGTATTGTGTGGAATGTGTGGGTGCTGTTTTAGGGGCCAGTTTGATAATTCAGACCTAGATTTTTCTTGGGTACATCCTGTGCTTTTAAAGGAGAAATTACTGTCAATGTAGCAAATAACAGACATTTTCAAAATTCTCTAATGGAACTATGTGTTAGAGGTACTGTTGTTGTCTGTTCTATCAGCTCTCCCACATGTATCTATTTTCTTTTTCTTTCTTTTTTTCCTTCTTTAGAATCATAGCATCATAGAATATCAGGGTTGGAAGAGACCTCAGGAGGTCATCTAGTCCAACCCTCTGCTCAAAGCAGGACCAACCCCAACTAAATCATCCCAGCCAGGGCTTTGTCAAGCGGAGCCTTAAAACCTCTAAGGATGGAGATTCCACCACCTCCCTAGGTAACCCATTCTAGTGCTTCACCATCCTCCTTGTGAAATAGTGTTTCCTAATATCCAACCTAAACCTCCTCCACTGCAACTTGAGACCATTGCTTCTTGTTCTGTCATCTGCCACCACTGAGAACAGCCTAGCTCCATCCTCTTTGGAATCCCCCTTCAGGTAGTTGAAGGCTGCTATCAAATCCCCCCTTACTCTTCTCTTCTGCAGACTAAATAATCCCAGTTCCCTCGGCCTCTCCTCGTAAATCATGTGCCCCAGCCCCCTAATCATTTTTGTTGCCCTCCGCTGGACTCTCTCCAATTTGTCCACATCCCTTCTGCAGTGGGGGGACCAAAACTGGACGCAATACTCCAGGTGTGGCTTCACCAGTGCTGAATAGAGGGGAATAATCACTTCCCTCGATCTGCTGGCAATGCTCCTACTAATACAGCCCAATATGCCATTTGCCTTCTTGGCAACAAGGGTACACTGCTGACTCGTATCCAGCTTCTCATCCACTGTAACCCCCGTGTCCTCTTCTGCAGAACTGCTGCTTAGCCACTTGGTCCCCAGCCTGTAGCGGTGCATGGGATTCTTCCTTCCTAAGTATAGGACTCTGCACTTGTCCTTGTTGAACCTCATCAGATTTCTTCTGGCCCAATCCTCCAATCCTTTCTTTATTTCCTTCTTAATAACTTAACTCTATTGTAAGTGAAAACTAAACCATCATGAAGTAAGGTTTTAGAGATCTAACTTGTGACTTAAACTCACAAATGCAAGGGGAGTCATAGCTAAGGTTGAAGTTTCAGGTGGGAACTGTGAGCCAGGTTCAGTTTGTGTATGCTGAATTCTGCTGATACAAACCCAGGTACAGAGTCTCCAGAGAAATAAGTTTTCTGAGTGGAGGGAGGTTGCAGTATTAGAAAGTATCCAAAACCTCTCCTCCACCAAAAGGAACATGGTGGCCAGCGAAGTCCCAAAAATGAGTGGTGGCAATGGCCTGGAAATAGTTATGGCCAGGGCAGTTGTGAAATACTCTGATGAGCACATGTCTCCTTAATAAGCTTCTGCCAACGAGGCTGCTCTGGCCTTTATTGGTCCTGTGTATCAATGTAATGCATGCTTGGAGTTCTGGGCATTACCTATTGTCTTAGTGTGGTTGACATGTCAGCTGTGTAATATTTTTGTAATTTTTTAAGTGATGAATTATGTGCTTGGAGGATGATGTTACAGTGATAGAGTGCTCGTTGGGTCACAGGCAAACCACAAGCCTACCGAACCCAATACTTAACTAAGAATAAGCAACTGTTATTGAGAGAGTATGGCTGGCATAAGAATTGGTCTCTATCTGTTAAGAGAAGGGTAACACTGGCCCTTCTGTTCCATGAATAATATGTCCTTAAATGATTTTAATTACAATCTGAATGAGATAATTGAAATCAAGTTCAGAACTGTCACTAGTAGACTTGTAAGGCGAAAACCAGCAGTTGTAGATTGTTATTGTGATAGCAACCAAATGTGCTAGGGACTATAAAATACACAGGAAGACAAACGGCTCCCCCGTTGCTGCTCCAATGTGTTCTCCTTCCATCTCTATGGTTTAGATTCAGACTGAGGAAGAGACTTGGGAGAAAGCAGAGCGTAAAAACCCATAACCACTTCAAGGATGCCCATTTCAATGTAAGTCTTTAAAAATGGAGGATTCCATGATGGTGTGAATAAGACCTTGTCTACACGACAGGGGAAATTCGATCTAAGCTACGCAATTTGAGTTACGTAAATAGCGTAACTCAAATCGATGTAGGTTAGATCTACTTACCGCGGGATGTCGACGGGAAGCGCTCTCCTGTCAACTCCCCTTACTCTTCTCCATCCGGTGGAGTACAGGAGTCCACGGGAGAGCAATCTGTGGTCAATTTAGCAGGACTTCACTAGACCCGCTAAATCGACCGCTGATGCGTCGATCGCTGCTTGTCAATCCCCTGGTAAGTGTAGACAAGCACTAAGGATCTGTATAGCTTCACCTGCCTCCTGCAGTTACTGGCAGCCGCTCCTGTAAGGGGGAAGTTGGTCTCTGTTGGAGTCAATGTGGGGGAGAGCTAATGTTAAATAATAAAATAAACCTTAAACCTCCTGCACTGCACCTTAGGAATAAAGGTTCTGATCCTGCAAAGACTTATGCAAATGCTTAAGTTTATATTCTACGAGAAGTCCTGTTGAGATCAGTGGGACTCCTCTCAGTACATAGAGGTAAATAGGATCAGGGTCAAGGTGAGAAGATTTTCAGGGCAAATAATTATTTAAGATATATTAATTGACTTAGGTGGCTTAAAAGGTTGAGAGGGCATCTGTAAGTGCACAAATTACCATAGCTCCTTTTCTTATACTCTGTTTCCCTGCCACTCCAGCACTTCTTACCGAGCATTGATATATCTCTGTCTACTGTACTTAGCTACATTTCCATTATTGTAGCTGATGAGTATTATAATATAGTGTGTATGTGTGAATGATGTGCTATAATATTTAATTGTAACATACTAGGGCACTTCAAAGTTGGGATATTTTGATGGTATTTCTGCTCTTGTTTTGATTTTAAATAAAATAAAATGCTTCATCTGAAATGTTGGGAAATGTTTAAACAAACTCCAGGAGAAATGAGGTGATTCCAGGCCGTTTTGGAAAAATCTTATAAACAATGTGGAGGAGCTAAACATGGAATATAATATCAGTCCTCAAATTTTTCTAAGGGGAAAAAGAATCAATAAGCTGGTTGGGGTAGCAAAAGCTTTCCTACAGTTGACGGATGTGCATTTGGCTGGTTATTAGTTTGTTGCAAGGTCCTTATTTGTGTGCGTGAATTGCTACTGCTGTAACAAAGCTTTACAGATTTATTTGAGCCAATGGAGAAGTGCCTCTTGTCTTTGCCATGCTCCCTACAGAGATCACTGCTGGTTTATTTGGTACACTTGATTTAGGAGAAATCACCATTGAATTTAATAGCTCTTACAGCTTTTTTCATTTTTAGTGGAAAGATTTAAGCTTTTCCAGCAGACTGGGCTGTACATCAATTCAGAGGAACTGGTAGCTGCAAGAATTTCTACCTTGTTGCCTTGTGCGACTGGTATTCGCATTGCAGTGGTGCAAAGTGAGCGATTACATTTGATGACACAAGTGAAACGTCTCATTCTAGTTTGTCAGAGCAATTTTTTTTATAATTGTGTCTCAAGAATTGCACGGAACAAGTTGTTAAATCCGCTTTTCTCTTTCTAGTTGGTAGCATCCATCGTGTTTATCAGCTTTGGAGTGGTAGCAGCATTCTGTTGTGCAATAGTTGATGGAGTCTTTGCCGCACGACATATAGTAAGTATGGTCCTTAATATTTTTTCTTTTGGTTCAGAACGCTCATGGCGCTTTCAGTAGAAAATATTTTCTTCTGAGTTATGATAAGCAATGTTTTAGTTACTTGGTAGCCCTTCTAGTTAGAGAAATGATTTATTCGTTGAAGATTATGCCATTCCTGTTGGCAGAAAACTGATTGGGGTTTCCTATTCATGTCAAAACTTAGAGATGTTGCCAAGAATATGTTCATGTCTATGTGAGTTTCAGCTACTGTGAAAAGTTAAATGATACAATGACAGGAGCTCACAGACTACTGCCTGCTTAGGAAAGTGAGGATATTTCAGGCTCCCCGCAAAGCTCTTTCATTATTCAGAACTCCAGACATACAGAAGCCCTAAGCATGGCCAGTCAGGATGTGGAACGCTCCAAATTCATATTGTTCAGGGTACATATTGTTCAAAGCAGTCACACTACACCATGGCCCAGCACAGGGGTGGCTTTGCCCCAGGTCCTTTCAAGAAAGGGAGTGGGGTACAACAGAGGAAGAGAGATCATTTTGATGGAGAAGAAGATAGAGAGATGGTAAGGCTATGGTTAGAGAGATAGAGAGGATGGAAAGTTCTTTGGGAACTCCTACCAAGTGACAAACAGCCCCAACCTGACCATCTCCCAGCTGCCTAATGCTCAACCCACCAGAGTGACAAGCATCTTCGGTCTATCTTCCAAAAGCCCCATGCAGCCCCTTGTTCCTCACTCTGCAATGACCTTGTCCTCCTTCTGACCAAAAAGACCTCACAACTGTGTTTACTTCACTAGTCCATTTATTTGATTATTAGGTCATAGAACATTTATTATTTGTATTACTGTAGCATCTGGAAGCCCCAATCATAGACCAGGATCTCATTGTGCTAGGTGCTGTACACAAACAAAGCAAAAAGACAGTCCCTGCCCTGAAGAACTTGCAATCTAAGAATAAGACCAAAGACAACAGATGGATGATGCAGACAGACAGATTTGAATGTGGGGTTATTTGAATATCTCAGCTGACATTCAGATTTTTATCAATCCTGTTTCTTTTTCCTTTGTATTTTTTTTAATTCCCTTAAAAACAAGGAAATCAAGTGCAGAAATCTACATTAATGCATCCTTTTGATTGAGATTTTGTATAAATGTCAACAAATGCAAAGTTAAGTTTTTAACAGAATTGTAACTCGGATACATTGCATACAACATCACATATTAACTAAAAATACACACATCACACACACTACTACAAAATTTTATGGCCTTGATTTTCATCAGACTTACACTGGTGTGACTTAATTGATGATTCCTGATGTGTAGTGGTGGAGCAAGTGGAGGCTAGGACCCGGATGCTTTTTTCTTTGTCATTATTTTCCCCTCCAAAACAATGTGGAGACTACAGCTGGGTGATTTTTTTTTTTGACTGAATCTTTTTTCTGAAAAATGCAGATTTGGGTCCGCTGAAACATTTAGTGAACTCGGGTCCATTCTGGTGAATTGTTTTGGTCGGAAAGAAAAAGAGAAAAAATTTGGGAACATTGAAATAGTTTGCTTTGACATGTTTCAGTTTTCACCAAACTGAGGAGGAGATGGTGGTAGTAACCCCTTTATACTCAATGGCCCAAGGCACTTACCTGGGATGTGGTTCGAATCCCTGCTCTGGAGTAGGGACTTGAACCCAATTCTCTCATCCCAGGTGAGTGGCTAACCACTGGGATATTTGGTATTCTGGGGTGGGTTTCTCTGTCTCCTCTGTTGAAGCTGTTCTATTTTGTATAAATAATTACATTTTCCTTGGAGCAGGGACTGGAACCTTGCTGTTTCCCCCCCCCCTTCCCTCCTCAGGTGAACACCATGAGCACAGGCTATAGAGCCCCCCCCTAAGTCTGGTTATTATTATTATAAATAAAAATTATACTTGGAGAGGAAGAGGAACTTTAGTGATTTTGTTACTTTTTAAAAAAATTTGTTTTATGGTTATTACATGATCTGGTTTAATCTCCTTCTCTTGTGACTGGTAGGTTTTATATTTCAGCTGTGCAAAACCCTTAGTATCTCAGTTGAAGGTGATTTATATTGATTAATTATTGTGATTTTTATTATTATAAATGTGATGATGATGAGCTTTCAGTCTGCTCTGAGCAATGAGGCTGCATGCTGTTGTGTTTTTCTGGAGCTGCCTAGGAAATACTGTAACTCCAGGAATCACAGTCTCCCTCCTGGTTTCCTTACTGCTCTGGGGAAGTAGTAAAGTACTCCAAGTCAGTATCAGGTGCAGCATACAGTTACTGATGCATCAGGAGTCAGGACAGCTATGCTGACCTGTGAGTTGTAGAGGGGAAGGCTGTCCTCCCTTCTCTTGTTCAGTCTGGGAATGTAGATGCTGTGCAGAGTTGCTTCCTCTCTTGCCCTGTGAATGCTGGTGTGGGTTGCTGGCACAAGGAAGCACTTTATACGTGGTTACTCCCATGTGTCTGTGTACAGGACAGAACAGAACAGGGTCTGGCCTAAACTGAGCATCAGTTCAGCTTTTTGTAACCTCTTTGCCCTTCCATATATTTTTGGCTCTATCTTATTTATGGTGTGGCTTCTTTATCATCTCTGATTTCTTTGCAACTCATTCAGAGGAATAATGCTGTTATTAATATAAATATCATATTCACATTAATGTGTGGAGTGAGATCTACAAATATGTTAGTGAGGCAGATTTGTGAAATCTGCCAGTAGGAATAGTGTAGAATTCATCAGCACCATGGTATCAGAGAACCTTTTTAGTATGGTAAGGTGTGTATTTTTAGGGTTCATTCCCTGATTCAACCCTCACTATGAACAAGTGACCATTGTGTATGTATCCAAAAGTGTGTGCAATCCATCAAAATACTAAAGGGTTAGACAAAGAATGTCACCTTCTCTGATGCATGGTATTACGTCTGAGGGCACTGTGTAGGAAAAAATCTCAAACACAGAGACAAATAACAGCCCTTTAATATTTCTAGGGACTTGCTTAGTCATTCTTCACTCTCTTGCCTTTCAGTTCCCTGCACTTACTTTATACATCTGCTCCAGAAACGACATTTCTCCCTTATCTTGGGCAAATAGTAATATCATGTTAGTATATGTGTATACTCTCATATCTGAAGAAAAATGTCTCAAGTAATACCCACCATTTATATTCTTCCCATGTATATCAGAGTACAAATATCTGCACGCCTCTTTCTGTCATGGCATGCCCTTGGAGTGGCCTTATTCGTACAGAGCTGTGAAGTTGAAAGGGGAGTTCTGGGCCTAGACATTCAAAGGCTTGTCACAATGCAATTTCAAGACACAAGGGTGTTGCATTGCCCCAAAGAGAAGGCCCATAGCAGTCTTGGATGTAGTTCAGAATCCAGCAAGTCAGCGACTAAGCCCATTAAATTGCAGTTGTCATCTGCTCAGTGCTGGACAAAATACAGACGTTTGTCCTTGAGATTTACTCTAAAATGAAACAAGGCAAATTCAGACCTGTCACGAGGGCCATCGGGTAAATCCAGTGAAGTTTACACTGTTTACCTATTTACTCCGAGTTTGATCCATACATCTTTCTTCAGTAGTACAGTACAAAGACTTATTTAGCGATATTGCTAGAAAATTAGAGATCATGCAAAACTTATCATAGTCACCATCCAACTTATTCCATTCTTAGCTGCCTAACAGAGAAGTGCAAGAACTTAATAAGGAAGAGTGAAATAAGGTGACAGGTCACCTAACTTTACTGACCACCAAACAGGTGGAGGGGGAGTTGCTACTCACTCCTATGTTGTCTAATGAACTAGTTAGCACATATCGAAGGAAGGCATATCAGATAGCCCACCTTTGTCACTGTTGTGTTAATTCTTTACCTTTCCCCATTTTACCCACATAATTTCTTCTTGATGGGGGTAGTAACAGTGTTTTAATTCCTCACAGGATATTGCCAGTAGCTCTCGTACTGTACCTGTATCATGCTACTCACTAATATATGATGTGGTTTGGCTGCTACCGTTTAGGAATCATTTATGGATTTTTGGTCCAAGCTGCCCTCTCTGCAAGGAGAGGCCAAAATCCTGGCCTACATAAGGGACTGCTGTTTCTGTGGCATTGGTCCCTTCCCTCCCCAGATGTTCCTCCAGGGATCCAGGGGTGTGGAGGAAGCTGGGCTGTGGGAGACAGGGATCAGGGCAGGTAAGACAGCCAGTCTATGTAGCTCTTTACTCATCCCCGCCAACTCATGAGGATTCCAACCTAAGTTTAACAAAACTTTTGTCTGCATTAACTTGTCAAGTTCTAAATCTGTCTTGAGGAGGAGTCTGGGACTGGTGGAGGAGCCCCTGGCAGCATTGCTCCAAGAGGGAGAAAGGCACTAGTTGAAGCCAGGAAGGCAGTTTAGAGAGGTACAGGGTTTCCACACATCTCCATCAAGATCTTCTGGTTAGGCAGGCTGAATCCCTTTCCAGTTCCATATAGAGGGGTTGCAGCACAGAACAGGCATTTCCTCCTCACAACGAAGCCACAGGAGGGAGCACCACAAGCAGAAACCTGGCATTTCCAGTCACCTATGCAGGAATGACCTGGCAGAAAGTCAGGGCATTCAAACCATTTTTTTAAATGATCCAAAATTGTGAAACAGTACAAGTCTGAGAGCTGTAGGGGCATGAGTGTGGGGAAGGGTAGAATTAAGATGATAAAGTAGCCTGGTTCAGAACTCCAATAAATACAACACAACCCTTCACACCAATTAAAAATAAGAAACGTCCCTTATTTGTCTTTCATTCGTGACTTCATTAAAGTAGGAAGAGATGGAAACAAGGCAAATAAATCCCCACATTATAATCCTTGCCAGTTCGTGCCTGCTTCTTAATGTTGAGGCCTTTTTTTTTTAACCCAGTTTCTCTTGCTTTTATAATGCTGTGGATGAAATCATAAAGTACTTTCTCTGTTTGTTTTTTCTTTTTCTTAAAAGACATAAAGTTGACGAAATC